AGTCATATCCCCCTGTCGCAACCACTCGAACTGTCTACGCAGCTCCTCTCTGCGAGACTGCGGCACATACTTCTCCAAGAAGAGAGTGGAGAACTGCTTCCAAGTAAGGGGTGTTGCTCCAACCGGCCTACGCCTCTCATACGCCTCCCACCATGTGAAGGCGGCCCCAGTAAACTGAAAGGTGGTGAATGACACACCACTAGTCTCAAGAATCCCTGCTGTACGGAGCATCCGCTGACACTTATCAAGAAAACCCTGGGCATCCTCGCCCTCGGCACCACTGAATGACGGAGGCTGGAGCCTACCAAACCTCTCAAGACGACACTGCTCATCATCCGGCATAACTGGCATAACAAACTCCTGAGCTGGTGCAACCGGCTGAGCTGGAGGTGCCCCCGGTGTCTGTAGTCCCTGCACTACCTACTCAGGTGTGCGAGCAGCGGGGTTCTGATTGCCTTCCCCGACCTGTGAAGTAGCTACTGCTGTGGTAGCTGAAACTGCCTAAGCCAGGCCTATGCAAACTGTCAAGATCTGTGCCAAGGCCTCTTGTAGACCCGGAATCATGATGGGCACTGCTGGTTCCTGAACCGGTGCTGCTGCTGGAGCCTGATCTGGAGTTGGGGAAGCTGGAGGATCAATAGGTGTTGCCCTCGCTATTCTGCCTCTACCACGACCACGCCCACGGCCTCTGGTGACCTCAGTGGGTGGCACTGGTGGTCGTCAACCTCGTCCAGTAGCGCAAGTCCTCGTCATCTGCAAGAGAATAGAATAACGGAAGTTTAGCACTCGGATCAACAAGTTCGCACAACAAGAGTTTCAAGGATATGAAGTTTTCCTAAAGGTTCTGCAGCCTCTCGAGGATAAATACAGACGTCTTTGTACCGATCCGCGAGACTCTACTAAACCGGCTCATGACTCGTGAGACCAAGTAATCTAGGCTCTGATACTAACTTGTCACGACCCCAACCCCGGCCGTGATGGAGCCCAACACAATGCTAGGAAAGCCCGACCAATTAACATCTCACAATCTCTTTCTTTATAACTCAATACCAATTTTCGGGATTTAATACCAATTTAATATAAATAGAAGTATGAATTTTAACAGATGAAATGTACGGAAACCATAATCACGAAAAAAAATCTCTGTAAAACAGCCCACTGATCTAGTGTCACAAGTCTGAGCCTCTAATACCAGGTTTCAACAATCTAATACAGAAATATGTCTAAAATGCGAGATAATAAGTGGATATAGAAGGAGAAATCGGGTCTGCGAACGCCATGCAGCTACCTCGATAACTCCGATGAAAACAGAACGGCAGGAAAGCTCGCTCTATGCCTCAGGAATACCTGTACCTGCACACATGGTGCAGGGAGTAATGTGAGTACTCCGACCCAGTGAGTAATAACAATAAATAATGGCTGACAGTATGAAATCACGTAAAGGCACTAAGCAGTTCTATATCAAAACAGTAAAATCATTTAAGCAGCAGTGAATGAGGAAATCATGTGAAATTCTTTAAACCAGGTAAAACAGATATAATCAGTATAAATCAGCTCCTCAAGCATTTCAGTTCATTTATTCGTTCTTATCCTCAATTCTCAATTCATATACTTCTCACGATAACCGAATCAAGAAATATATATACCGCTACGGCGTGCATCCCGATCCATATATCGCTGTGGCGTACAGCCCGATCCATAATAATAATAGTCGACTGCGCTCACTGGGGGTGTGCAGACTCCGGAGGGGCTCCTTCAGCCCAAGCGTTATATAAATGTTGCGACGTGCAGCCCAATCCATATAAGTAATTGATGCGGCGTGCAGCCCGATCCATAATATGTATAATATATATTTCTACTGCGGCACGTAGCCCGATCCATATCATACAAAATACCCTCACTATTGGGTCCTCGACCCCTCTCAGTCATTTAAAAATCACAGCCTCTTGGGCATAATGTACGGTCGGGATCACAACCCTCATATCTCTTCCTATTTATGATTAACATTTCAAAAATCTGGTTCATATCATTCTTAAACAATTGGAAACATGACTGAGAATATAAATTCTTTAACAAAATAAGTGAGGAAAACCAGTCAAAAATCCCCTAAGGGTTCTACAGGTCGGCACAAGGCCCCAAGCATGGCAACAAGCCCAATTCACAACAATAAAGTATATGTCTCAATCAAAAATGTAGTAACATATCACTCGGTATGGACCAAATCCAAATCCCCATAGCATTGAACCTCACGCTCGTCACACATCGTGTATCTGAACTTAGTATAGCACTACGTTGTGCAAATTTGGGGTTTCAAACCCTCAAGACATCATTTAAAATCATTACTCACCTCAAACTGGCCAAAACTCTAGCTCGCTATGCCCTTGCCTCTCAAATTGGCCTCCACGCACGTCAGATCTATCCAAAATCAGAACGAATACGTCACAATATGCTAAGGGAACAAAGCCCAAGCAAAAATATTCGAAAAATATCAAAAATACCGGAATTAGCAAAACCCGAGCCCCGAGATCACGTCTCGGAATCGGGTAAAATTTACATTTTCAGAATCCTCATACCCTCACGAGTCTAACCATACCAAAATTATCCAATTCCGATACCATTTGGTCCTTCAAATCATCATTTTACATTTTTGAAAGGTTTCACAATTTTCTTCCCAAATTCCATCTCAAATCACGAATTAAATGATGAATTCAGTGATAGATTCATGTATTCTAGCCAAATCTGAGTTAAAATCACTTACCCCGATGAATTTCTTGAAAAACCTTCGAAAAATCGCCAAAATCCGAGCTTTCTAGGTCAAAATATTAAATAAAACCCAAAACCTCGTATGTATAGGTACCCCCTCATATTTCAGCTACCGCGAGCTGCACCAAAATGACCGCGGTCCGCCCAAGCCAGTGCGGTCCGCGCAAACACAACCGCGGCCGCACATGCCTTCCTCTGCAGTGATAGGCTTTAGTATTTTTGCCATAACTTTTGCTACAGATGTCAAAATTGCGGTATCTTCATATTTCTGGACACTAAACATGAAGGGCTACAACTTTCGTTTTTGAATCACCTCAAAATTCCTTGTAGATCAAAAGATATGAGCTTCCGAAGTTGGACTAGCGGGAAGGTTCTTCACCGCGGCCGCGGCCACTTTTGTGCGGTCCGCGCGACGCCTGCCGCGCCCGCTTTTGTGCGGTTCGCACAGCACTCACCTCGGGCACACTCATTTTTTTGCGGACCGCGTGGGTGAGTTCTAGGGCCTGCAACCCTCCTGGACCTGCTGCAACTATGATTTTCGGCCTAAAACATCCCGGAACCTGCCCGGGACCCCCGAAACTTCAAACAAATTGTACCAACACATCCATGACAACGTTCAAACTTGTTCAACATTTCGGAACGCTTCCAACAACATCAAATCACCAATTTAACATAGGATTCAAGCCTAAGAACTCCAAGAACTCGTAAATTATGCTTTCAATCAAAAGGTCTATCAAATCTTGTCCGAATGACCTGAAATTTTGCACACACATCCCAAATGACACAACAAAACTACTGCAACTCTCAAAATTCCATTTCGACCCCTATATTAAAATCTCGCCTATCAACCGGAATTTGCCAAAATATCAATTTCGCCAATTCAAGCCTAAATCTTTTCTACAACTCCAAAACCCATTCTTATCTCGCTCCTAAGTCACAAATCACCTTCCGAAGCTAACCGAACCTTCGGAACTCACTTCCGAGCCTTCTAACACATAAGTCAACATCCGGTTGACTTTTCCAACTTAAGCCTTCTTAAAAGAGACTAAGTGTCTCATTCCTTACCAAATCCTCTCCGAACTCGAACTAATCAACCCGATCACATAAAACACGGATAACGAAGCGTAAAGAAGCTGAAATAGGAGAAACGGAGCGGTACTCATGAGATGACAAATTAAAATGCACAATTAGTTGTACATTTATGAGATTGTGTTTATTTAGGCACCACTAGGACCTAAATATTTTGCCTAACTTCAATTTATAATAAGAAGTTGGTTCAATTTGTAAAAATATTAAAGTGCGAAATAAAGTAAAGAATACAAGATATTTAACGTCGAATTTTTTTTTGACTGAAAGGTTAAAAACCAATGGCATAGCCTTGAAGGATTTAACCAAACTTTAACAACGAGCCAAGTTCAGATTAAACTTACCTTTAGAAGTTGATGTTGACAATCACTAGACTGTTGCAAACCCCTCAAATTAATTTAACAAATACATTTATTTGTCAATCATCAAAACATCATATACATAAACATATTGGTGATCTAGTCTAAAACTTTACCATTTGACTACTAGCATTTGGCGTTGAAGGGAAATAACGTTAAAGTTGTCTTCATGTAACCTATAGGTCACGAGTTTGAGATGGTAGCCAGGGACGGATTATTTAGGGGACGGAAGGGGATTCACCCGAACCTCCTTCGCCAAAAATTATACTGTATATATAAGGTAAAATCTATTTTTTATCTCTATATGTTATGTTTTGAATCCCCTTGACATAACCCTAAAGCATAGCTTTGTGGTCAAGGGGTTCACAACCTTTTTGAGGCCATTGGTTCAATTCTCACTAGCTACAATCTCTTTAAAAATTTTAATTTTTGTCTTTTTTGAACCGCTTTAGCGATAATCCTGTCTCCGCCATTGATGGTATCCGTCACTAATACTTGCATTAAAGTACGTATGTAGGCTGTTTACATCACATGTATAGCCCTTGAGATGCACCCCTGTTCTCCTAATCGACCGTCCATGAATGAGGGATGCGTTGTGCACTGGGTAACTTCTTTTCAAACTAGCGTTGGGCACAATAACTGCTAAATTAGTAGCTCTAACGTTTGGCACAATGAATAACTCCTACAACCAGAACTTTTCTGCTAAATTTCCTAACTGCCAACAACTCATTATACACACTAATACGTTGCCATGTTTTTCTTGCTCTAATACATTAATTTCTACTATATATAATACTACCCTCAGTTGCAGCTAAATCATACAACATATATCTTTCTTTCCTAATCTAAATCATCTACAAAATTATGGCTAGTGATCTGCAAAAATCACACGAAAATGAACGTGAAGGAGCAGAAATTACATATGGAGCTGAAGATTGCTACCGCAAAATTGCAGAACTTTTGCAAAACATGGGATTTCCAAAAGGAGTCCTTCCTCTTAAAGAACTTGAAGAATTTGGCTATGTTCGTAAAACTGGATTTGCATGGATGAAGCAAAAGGCGCCATACAAACATTATTTTAGTTCAATGAAACTTCTTGTAAACTATGCAACTGAGGTTACTGCATATGTGGAGGTTGAGAAAAGGAAGATGAAAAAGATAACTGGTGTTAAGGGTAAGCAGTTACTTATTTGGGTGACAACAGTTGAAATGAGCATTGAGGATCCTACTTCAAACAAAATTTATTTCAACAATCCTATAGGAATTGGAAAGTCTTTTCCAATCACTGGTTTTATGACTGAGGAGGAAAAGCATAAGTACCTGGAGAAATCCAATGAGTAGTAGTAGTAGTATATTTTTGCGGTGTATTCAGAATTTTAAGTTTATGAATTTTGGATTCGGAAAAATGCAGCTTAATTACTAGATTTTGCTATATATATATATATATAAATAATATGAATACTTAATACAAATACAAAGTTTTAGGCTAAGCTATGTACTGGATTCTGCCTAGAGCTCTAGCTCCGCTGCTATATATTTGCATCCTCTTCTTTTTCTTGGGACAGGGCTTGAAGCTTTGTTTCATCAACTTATATATTCTTGCACACAAGCGCTTGCTACTGCTATACTTTCTTTTATTTGTACTTGAGCCGAGGGTCCGTCGGAAATAGTCTCTCTAACTTCAAGGTAAGGGTAAAATTTGCGTTCGTACTATCCTCCCCAAACCCTACTTGTGAGACTACACTGAGTTTTGTTTTTGTTGTTGTTGTTGAAGCGCTTGCTAGCTAATTAAGAAGAATGATATATATCTTGATGAATTGAGTAATATCTTACGGAGTATGTCATAGTAATATTTTTTAGATTTTTATTACATGCACTGATAATAGAATTTTTTTAATATTATTTGTGTCATTTAATCTGTTACAGCAGATTATTTCTCATTTATGCATGGTAGGTTATCTATCAATACTATACTACAGTGTTACATAGAATTATATACCTTTTAATAGATATTGTTTCATATATTCTACACCGTCAATATACCTTAAACCTACCTTTACATAACTATACAATCTTAAAAGACACGTTACAATTTTTTTAGCATCATTCTCAAAAGAGATTCATTCCTATACACTATTTGAAACCTTATTACGATACCCCCGACAAGGTGGGTTACTCTGATGGTAAGCACCCTTTACTTCCAACCAAAAGATTGTGAGTTCGAGTCACCCCAAGAGCAAAGGTGGGAGTTCTTGGAGGGAAGGATGCCAGAGGTCTATTTGAAAACAGTCTCTCTACCTCAGGGTAGGGGTAAGGTCTGCCTATTTGAAACCTTATTACGAAAAATATTTATGTTTTTTATTTTACCCTGCCTAAACATGATTTAGTTACAAAATATATACAACCCATTATTAGTATCTTAAATTAGGGGATTTAGTTACATTTTTTCCTATTTTCTCTCCATTCCTCTTTTAATAACTCCTTCCAGATGCGTTTGAAAACTCATTTTGGTTTGACAATCCATAGCTCCTCGTCAATTTCAAACTAATCCCATGATTTTCATTTCTTCCCCTAAACCTGCTTCGTTCAACCATAAAATGATTTGTCCTTTTGCTCATCCTCAATAATCCCCATCCAATGAAGCACTGACTGGGATTTTGTACAGCCACAACCATATGAACTATATTTTGGGAGTCTTAATTTTGCGAACAATTACTAGAAGAGGGAATATATCGTTTCTTAATCTTATTATATAGGCGGAGCTCTAACTTTCAACAGAAATGATATTGTGCAACAAATACGCGGCAGCTGAAGCCAAATAGAATTTCAGTTATAAGATTGCTCTATTATGCTTTTACTGAACAGTTTCGTTACAACATTGTCAAACTACAACACAAATCGCAGTTAGATCAAAAAGTATAATTGAGCAGATTTGAAGTTTTAGCAGATTTCAAATTGAATTCAATCGCCTCCAAACTTTAAAGTCAACTTTGTATTAGTATTTCCAACAAGAATCTATGCTGTCCAGTTAATTTCTCACACAAAATTCAAATTTCACATAAAAGCTCAGTTTCTCCGAAGTGTGACGGTGGCGTTTTTAATGTGAAACTCGAAATTTCTCCACCAAAATCATTCAATTCCCATCAATATTCAAATTTTTCCGTTCAAACAAAAATGAATCAGTGCACATGAGTTGATTTGGAATTTATTCTCTACTTTTCTTTCCTTAATAAATCAACTAATCAGAAAAGAACAATGTATGGTACTTCACATACGAATTAAAAATAAATTTCGTACAAATTTAATGCAAATTTGAATATCTACAACAACTTATATAGTAAAAATAAATTTTATACAACTAATTATATAGTATAAAACTTATTTATAACTTATCTACAACTTTCATACATTATTTTTTTCCAGTTAAATACATCTAAAATATCATACAACTTAAATATAATTTTANATATATATAATATAATAGAATTTTGCTACAACTTTACTACAATTTATGCAGTATAATGTATGTCATGTCTTCTTCTTCTTCGAGTTTTAATCTGAATTCAGCCAAAATCAAGTCTAATCTTCACCAAAACATCCTCAAAATTGAGATATAAACTTCAAACCATATTCTCAATTGTTTGCAGCAACACTCAATCCAAATAAATAATGATTTTTGAAAATCCAATTCGAATTCAAAGCTTCAAAGTTTTTTAATGTCTGTCAAT